TAATGGCTGAAAGCATATCAATTCAATTTACGTCATTGTAACTCCCCCGGAATAAAGTGCTCGGCAGTATTTAAATAAAATCATGTTTAATGAATAGAACAGCCATGCTAAGAACAAGCTATGTGATCGAGGGAAATGTCAAGACAGAAGAGCATTGCTTTTTTTTGTTCAAAACTTGTAGCTCGAGAACAATGAGTTTCCTATCTATCCACTGAACCTCTGACTGCTGTTGAATAACTATGATTCAGCATAATTCAAGTTTTGGTGACTACCATCACAGCTGTATGTGAGGAAAATGCCGCCTGATCCTCTCACGTGCCAAAGCAGAACATATACGTATACACAACTGAGGATTAAAATGAAAAATAAAATACCAGCTGCAGTGTTTATGCCAATCATTGATAGAGAACATAGGTCAACCATTACCATGGTCAAACTTCATTTTCACTCTGGCTTTTATCTATTCACAACCAGCAAGATTTGCTCTATAAGACAGATAACTTAGATATCTGAAAAAAAAAAACTTGGAAAAGCCTTCAGTTTTCTGCTGCAGTTAGCAAAAAGAGTAATGATCACGTGAAAAACCTTAATGCATCTGCCTTAGTACACATCTGCACTATGCACTTTTTACATAGTCTACCATTTTTTTGTCTCACTACCACATATTTATTTATTTTTCTACAAAATATGTATTGTTCTTGTTGTCTGCATTGCATGGTGTTGTCTGTTGGACTGTGGATGTGAGTAGTGAGTAGAGGTTATTGTCACATGCACAAGTGGACAATGTCCCAAGAGATGAACGTGATTAAGAACTCCAATGTACGTGTACATATGGCAATAAACTACTCTACTCTTTCTTAAATAAACTTCGTGGGATGCTAAAGCCAACAACATAATTTGTTTTTATCCACACTTCTGCCACTGCTGTATCAGAGGTTAACCAGCGTGCCATTTCTCACAAAGCTCAGCTCAATAAACAATGTTCACAGAGGCAGTTTTTTTTGTAAAGATAAGCAGTGAAAGAAACAATAAGCGCAAAGTTCTCTTCCAGAAGCGGTGTAAAAACCAAACTTTAATAAATCTGAGGTTAGCGGCAACAGCACTGAGGTAATAACCCCCTTGAATTTCCCCTGGTATAAAATGTAATAAACTGGAACATGAGACAAGGTGCAGGCTGCCCTGCCAGGGACCACAATCCAGTCAGTCCACGTGCGATCTCATCTTTCAACCCACCGTGGAAAAAAACAGAAACGAAGCCATTAAGCAGAGGAAAGGAGAAATGGGTGACAGTTCAACAGATGAGACAGCTGAGTCTAATCTTTCTGAAGGAGCTTCAGAAAAAAAAAGAAAGGAGAAAAAATAATATATATATATATCATGTATAGACTTAAGTTCAGCTTCTTAGGAGTCTTTATGAGCCATTGGTGACAGCTGGGGGATTAGAAACGAGCCCAGCAAACAGACCTGAACAGACAGGGATTAGATATAATATGTTGTCTGTTGAAGACCCCGATTCCCACGCTTAAATCAATAAAAAGCCTTGATATACAAGCAGTTCATGCTCAATGCGCTCATAATGTATTTACAAGATATTAGCCATTACCATAGTGACAGGTACTATAATGTTAAATGTCAGGAAGTACATCCCCTCATTATGACATTTTCAAATCATATGTCCTGCAGTACTCTTTCTACAGGATACAGCTGAACAACATATCGCAGCTGTCTGTCTTATTTTTGCCTTGCTTGTACTCATTGCATTCAGTCTTTTTTCAAGGATAAACTGTTGACTAAACCATGCTTAGAACTGTTATCATCCTTGAAACACTGACATTAGTGACAGCTTCAAATTCTAACAACACTCATGAAAAAAAGTTCAACCAACTGCAAGTAATCAAGCCATAATTTTGCTGAGCAATAACAAAACCCTAGTGCTAACCTGAAACACTCTATACTATTAACAGTATATATGTACAACCTGATGTATAATGTTTGTCACAAAACTGTATTACACAGAAAAACTTTGGACAAGCTTTTATCAGACTTGCTACAGGCTCTAAAGAGCTCACATGTTAATTTTAGAATCTGTCTATTCTGACAGACATTAACAGTTACAGTGTGTAGATATAACAAATGCAGAAGCACAGATAGGCTTAGAGACTCTGTGATGAGATTTTAATACATGCAAGTGAGATAGTGAACTGAGCTGAGAAATCAAGAGCATGAAATGTTTATTTCAACAGTTCATAAACACCAGGTGCAGTTTTTTCCTAAACACAACCTTAAGATTTATATGGCACGCAGAATGATGTGTATTTCTTTGCTAAGCTGTTAAAGTTAACCTTCCAGTTACTGAGAACACACCACAGCTCCACTAATGACTGACTCCTATCATATAATCATGAAAAGCTGCCATCTGGGGAAGACATTTCTTTAATGTAGTAAAATATCCAGAGGTAAAAATGACATGATTCAAAATGGAAAATGCTCATGTACAGTAGTGAGTCAAACAAGAAATTGACCGCAGAAAACACCCTGCTGGGAACGATAATACTTGTACACAAATCTCATTAGAAAGAACGACTTGGTTGCTAACGAAATTGAATTCTGCATTTATATTTATTTTAAACAAGACAGGAGCATGAAGGCTCTGGGCTTTGTAAAGAAAGTTTCCTTGCCCCTGTGCATGTCTCACTAATCCGTAAAATTACACCTGTCACTGGATGTTAGATTTATTAACACTATTTCCTGATCCATGGAAAAACTATTAAAACACACAAAGGCACAGGATCTCCAGTTAATTAACATCACAACCTTTTTCATTCTGGGAATCGGTTTCTTATTTATGAGATTAATTAAAGTATGTAAATACTGTTAGGAAATGACCAGAAGATTTAAAAGTACAGTAGTTACAAGCAGGGAGTAAATATATGTAAATACAGTATAGGGACAGCAGGGGTGCTGTGCTGTTAACCCTTCTGTACCAGAGCAAGAAAGAGAGATACATCAAGAAGCATTAACTTTCAATACATTGCTTTCTGATTACTGTATGTGTCATCCAAGTAAAGGCATGAGAGCGTGGTACTGCTAACTATATAACTGTATATACGCTCACATGTGCTTGCTGAGCACTTTAAAAAAAAGGAAAGTAACTTTCCTTCTAAAAGTTTATCAAAAAGATTACCCACAAAGATCTGTAAGTTCTGTGAAGAAATGCGCTCAATGTGTTTAAGGAGAACTACTCTCTTACCACCTGAGGAACAACATCAACTCAATGCCTATCCAAGCAAAAGAGTACTGCTGTGCAATTTTATACTTGGATGATGGACAAGCAGTTGGCAAGCTCTGACCCTGGAGCTCATCCCTTGAATTGAAATGTACTACCCGGCACATGACATTGTTTGCTACCATTTTTTTCCCTAAATGAAGCCAAATGAAAAGGCACGTTTTTATTATAATTTCTTAACTAACTTCTTCTTGAAGCTCTCTGCTGTTCTGTGTATTCCGGAGATCGCATTTCTTCAAAAACGGTAATTGAGGACTCCGATAAGCCCCCACAGTCAGAAAACATCAAATAACACCGAACACCCTGCTACAAACATTTCACTCATTTTACCAGCTTGATTGCTGTCCAGCTCAGAGATGCTTGACAGCAGATGTTATGAAAGATTTTTTTTTTTTAGAAGTTAAGAACCCCGGGTAACGAATGCCTTTGACATGAGTTTCGTGCCTTGCTGAGAGCTTCTTCAGCAGCATGTCTGTAAATCATGTTTCCTGAGGAAGTGCCAAGTGACACTTTAATGAGCAATACTGCGCCTCCCTCACCCAGGGTTAAGTGGTCAAGCAGGTCCGAGCTTTTGCTTGAGGATGATTTTCTCTCCAGCCATGGGATTCTATCTGACCCTCTGGCATGGAAACAATTATGACATCATCAAGCTAGTTTCTCGGGCATCTGTTAGCTTAAGAAGGGCTGGATTGTGATCTAGTCCACTATTTAACTGACTGAACACCCAGTATTTCAAGCCTTTTTTTGCAAATAAAAAAAGTTAATAAGATTTTTCAAACACCTGTGGTACAGAGAGGGCTTTATACCTAACTATCCCTCAAGAAGAAAAGGCACAAAGGCAATGTTTTAAATTGAAACACATTTCCTTTGGCTTTCATGAAGGGTGAATTTGTATCATCTAGCATACTTAAGAAGATGAGTAGCTAAGAGCTGAATAAAATACCACTGCTAAAAAAGTCTTTTCAGGTCTTCCCTGAACAGCTGAGGTGTTGCAAGGTTGCCTGTAGAAGAATCAATCACACAGTGTTAAACACTACTAACAGATGCAGATTATTGATTTTACCATATTCACCAAAGAAGTAACCACATCCTCTGTATTTTTTTTTTGAAATATAACAAAGAAAGGAGAACAGAACAGCACAGTGCGTATGTCTTTGATATCATAACTGATAAGTCGTGAGGTCAGATCCCTGTTGCACACCCTAGTGTTGTAACTTTGAGTAAGTTACTTTATCCCAGTTTTCCCCACAGTTGCAAGATATTATTATTATTGTTGTTTTTTATTATAAAGCACCTTTCCAAACCCAAGGACACAGTACATAGTGATAAAGAAGACAAAATACAAAACAAAAAAGCAAAACAAAATGACAAAGGGACATACAGGATAAAGGGTAAAGCAGTCAGACACAGGCCCTCGTAAAAAGGTGAGTTTAGAGTAGGTTTAGAGTTGAAAACAGTCAAAGATGGTTTTTTCCTGATGAGTCAGTGGAAAGACTTTGTATAACAGTGGCTTCAAATCCCAGATGAAATACTGTTATTACACCCCTGAGTCAAATATTTCACTCAGATGGCTGCATTATAAAATGCCAACGATGTGTAAAGTAGAATAGATGGAAATTCACATTAAATAGCCAGCCTAATAATAATACAGTGTGGTTACCTAATATTACATTATTATTACATGGTTATGGTTTAACATTACAAGGAAACTTACCTTTCCAGTGGACTGTTTTCTTTCCTCCGGCAATGGAGAGTGATGACTCTATGTCCTTCGCTCCTTGTGTCCTGACTGACTGTCCATAACACTGGGTTACTGGACCGTGCTCCCAAAAAAGTTACCCCTTCTTTTAGCTTCACCCTGTTCAGAGAAACACAGACACCCAGTTTCAGGACAACGGCATTCCCAATCCGGGGAGCAACTTCCCAAACACTCATTTTTAATCTTGCACTACTTCCAAATCTCAGGCCTGCTATAAAAACAGGACTTCGAATAATTGTGTTCATCATCAATACTTTCGGCTCTTGCAGAACCGCAAATTAAAAATCCACTGTGTGATTTGAAACAAACATTGTATAAACTTTACATACAGGTTCTGTATTTGACTCAAGTAGAGAAAGAATATTATTGAAATATCTCACTCATTTTGGTAATCTGATTTAGAAATATTCTCCTTCCACAATGTAAAGTGTATTCTGCTGTTCTGGTAGTACTGTAGCTTTGAAATCAAATGCTAGATATTGGGAAATTAACAAACCATTTAACTGTTAACCCTCATCTGGGATTTAAGAATGAATTCCAAGAGCAGAAAAACAAAAACATCCTATGTGAACCTTTAAACTGGACCTCTCTCTTACTTAATTTGCTTCCTAACATTTTAGTGAACCTTTTTTTCTAAGAAAAGAATGAAGAAAGATTTTCTTTTTGTGAGGTCTTTTTGCATAATGTCTAAACTCAAGGTTGCATTTTATGGATAACGCTTGACCTTTTACTCCACTATCATTTTAGATACTTAGCCCCATGCTTTGTCATGTGTTACACAGGCTGCATTCTCACAGCGTTTCGGATAGCAGTGATCCTTTGAAAGCATCATCACAGAAAGCCTCACGCACGCTTTCATTAACATTGGAATTTCTGTTCATCATGTCATTGCAGAGGTTTGCTTTTCAAACTCGATAGTGGACCAAGGATTAAGGCCGTGTTGTCTCTGATTTTGCCAAATTTGTCTGTGATTTTGCTAAAAAGAAAACCTGTTTTTCCTGCCTCTTTCCCTGCTGACAACTGAAGAAGCAACCCAAAAGCTTGACAAGTGGTAGTAATGCCAGCCACCAGGCAAGCTAAAGCAGGCACAACCTGTGTGCGAATCAGCTGCATTCCAAACACTTGGCACTAAATATTAATAAGCAGGAGTGATGTGTTAAACAGGTATCTCACAGACATCTGCTAGCTGCTTTGCTGTTTATTATAACAGATGTACAGAATAAGTCTGTTGGCCTACATTATCTGTGGGTATAAAAGTTACAACTACAAAGTTACCACCTGCACCCTGGTATCCGATTTAGCAGGGTGGAACAGGTTATATTCAATAAATATTAAGTCAGTCAGCAGGGTAGAGGAAATAATTATACAAGACTTAGATCTGTGATGTGTATGGGGTATTCTTGTGATTTGAGAAAGCAAATATACACAGCACTCTATTTCAGTCAGGTTAGTTTGCTAAATATAAAACCGGTGGCAGATTTTAGAAAGAGGGGGACATGTAGAATTGGGATTTGTGATGTTTGTAGAGTTCTGTAGATTTCAAATATAAAACAAGGATTACATCTTGTGCAAGAGGCAGATGGCGAGAGTGTAAATGGTCAACTCCCTATTTTTATTTTGGTGTTTTTATGTTAAAGATAAAACTTATAACTGGAAACTAACTTCCAAAAGGATTTAATTCCCCCGATTGGTAAGGGTTGATTATGATGGAAAATAAGAAGTTTCTTTATTAAATTAGATATTTTTCCCCATACTTTTTTCTCATTTTGCATCAATGTTGTTTTGACTAACTTATAGACATTTCTCAAGGTCGGTGATTATAGGGCTTAATATCCAACCAATATGCTCATTATATATTGGCATTCACACACTGCTGCTGTTAAACAGTTAAGAAACAAATTCACCTTAAAGCTTTCAATTATGTTCCAGCTGAAGAGTTCTTAAGTACTATCATATCATAAGCAGGCACTGTGAAACTTTTAAGCTATGAGTTTCTCATCTGAATTGTCCTGGTATAATAAAAAAAGATTAAAATACATTTTATTTTAAGAGATGTTTTAATCATTAGATCCGATCAGATAACATGCCCCAAGCTAAAGATCTCCTAGCCTTTAATTGTTTCCTAGCCTCAAGTATTCCACCTGGTGCTTTTTGAAATTCACTGAAATAATGAGTGAATAGCTTCTTTCTTTTCAAGCATCTGATTCAACAGAAGTATCCATCTAATGATTTTAGATCAATTATGCTTATTCTTTTACTTATGCCTACCAAGCACATTTAAGCAACATTTCTCTGACATGTTAGATGTGCGTGATTAATCCCATGACACCAGGATTTGGAAGTTAAAGGTCTTGTCCCCAGGCTTGGCAAACCTTAACACCTCTAAGGAAAATATTTTATGTAAGCCGTGGGTAGACCACAGCTTCTGAATCGGAGAGACAGAACTCCTCACCTCTGAAAGGTGCCGTGCAATTCTACACTACTGTTATGTCTGAAGGCAGTGAGGAATTTAACACTGACACCCCTAGTGCAGGACATCAAAGAGTATCCTGCTCAGGAGCACAGGAAAGGCTTTCAGCACTGCTATGAGGTCGCCCTTGAACTCTGACCTCCTCCCTTCACAGCTCTTCAGTCAGCATGTCACTTTCATCAGAGACTTAATGAGATCCTCAGAGCCATGAAAAGTTTTCTGATTACTTTCAAGAACCTCAACACTCCCTTTTCTCCTCTCTTGCTATAACTTTCTTTTGTGAATGAAGAAATATGTAATATGTATGCATATATCATCAATCATGAGAAGCATTAAGTAACACAACAAATAAGCATTGGAACCAATAGCATTTAAGGGCATTTTTAATGGCTACCAGTGTGTTTACAATACAGTACATCTATTACATATCTTGCACATACTGTCATTTTAATATCTTTATCCCAAAAATTGGAAAGCCAGGTTTCTAAAATTTAAAGAAATACCAGAAACATAAGAAATTGTTCTACCAAATGACTACACAAGGCTTGCCAAATGGGTTTTCAAAATTAACAGAATCAGTCCACTACACTTTTGAAAATTAAAACCTCCATCTACCAGAAAGGAAAAGGACATATTTTCTCAGTTCTGACATGCATGATGCACAGAGTCCAAATGAAACTTGCTAACAGCAGAAATTTATGGGAAAAAGAACCAACAAAACATGCAGAAAAGGATGCAAGGGTTAATTAAACATTGCGACACTTGATATTAGATTATAGTGGTCAATAATTCTAAAAAGTACATTCAAGCCACCTACAGCATAATCCAATTTAAAAGGAGGTCTGTCTTCCAAAGCATCAATACATGGATGTAATATAATCCATTCTTAAGTAACCTCCACATTAATTAAATTATTATTTACGATCTCAAGACCACAGTAAGGGTCAACTGGCACACAAGCAATCTACCAAGATAAAAGAGGCTGGATTTCTGTAATTGATTATAATAATACAGATGGGTTGGTTTTATTTCACATTGTCTTTCAATACACACAAGCCCGAAGGTGGTATTTTTCCATCCCTGTTTCCAGGTATCTTGCTCTATTATATTCAAAGTAGATTTTTATACATAAGAAACTATGCTATAGAAAAATCTGTTAGAATAGTGAACCTTCAGATTACAGCAAGCACAAATTGGAAGTCTACTGTTATTAGAAATAATGCTTAATTAAAAGCAGAACTGCAGTTCTCCAGAGAACAGCAGAAATGAGTGTATTGATTTTGTACACTACCAGACTAGAAGTGTACTCCTTTGTTTCTGTGGTCTCACTTGGGCCAGCTGAAAACTTGTAGCAGCACTGAATGAACTAAGAGTAAGATTTTTCATGGTCATTTTAGGGTAGGAGCTCTCAGTCTTCTGAGTATATTCATTTTACGTTCTGCAGAAGGAAGTGGGATGAATATCTTGAACTATCTGTACATGAAGTGTTATTATACTTACAACAAATTTACAAATAAATGCATTGTTTTCTCTAACCAAGAAATAGAAAGAGAAACAGAATTTTGATTATTTTCAATAATATATACTGTATGCAACCCACAACAGCAACAAAGATTAAGTCTATACCTTTTATAGACATACAAATAAAAGACATTTGTGATTTATATTACAGAATATTACTGTACAGTATATTGTGTTACCTGTTATACACATTCATACTGATTAGTTGAATTTGTTTCTAATTTTATTTCAACAGGAATGGCTTATGCTTACACATAATGATGTTTTTTTTTTTCCCAGACCAGAAAAGGTAAGAGAACTCAATTAATATGGATTTAAAACCAACGGCCTCGTCCTGAAAAGGAAGTCTATGACATGGGAACAAAATAAAGTAAAATATACAGTCCATACATGCAATTAAAAAAATACAGTACAGATGATATAAAACAGAATTCTGCTTGGGGTGATTGACACAATCCATTCAAGTATATACAGTATGGTGACATAAAACTACACTGGTATATCTGTGCAAAGTGCAGAAATCAGGTTTAATCCACAGACAACATTACACATTAAAATCTGTTGAAACCTGCTTTCTCACTCTCCTCAGACAGGGTGAAGCAGTTGTGAATGCCGTCTAAATCTGACCACTTAGCCCTGGTCTATAGGGAACAACGAAGCCCCATCACAGCCGTTTCCTCAATAAATAATGACTACATAACTGGAAATGGAAAGCTGTCTCTCAATGGAACCGTGAGAAATAAATTTGTTCAGATGAAATCCAATAAGTAAGTGCCTGAGAGCGTTCCAATCATGAGCCGGCTTGTCCCCTTAGCGGAGACTTGCTCCTTTGGAGAACAGGGGGTCAGGACTCTCAACCAGTGCGTTCCTGCTCATTAATCCGTCCAGCGCAGCATCACAAATCAGCAGGCCCGGTGGGACACGGGCCGCATCCTCATCAGGGCAAAATTTCGCACGCTTTCAGCTAAAGATGAAAAGCGCTGTTAGGAAATATGCCGAAGTGTTGCCGGGGAAGGAAGGGGGGGGGGGCGTCTTTCAGCGTTTCATCAGAGGTTCTTAGGACTGATTTTGTGCACAGAAAATTGTTTCGGCCTCCCCAAAGCCCCCGGCAGCTGCTGCTTCGGCGTTCCTCCACGGAGCTGCGCTTGCCCTCCTTCGATCCCGCCAGAGAAAGAACTGCTGGCC